CTGGCCAACAGGGGCGTGTGCCCGCTGACCGGGGAGCGCGTCCTGGGAGAGGCGCCCGTGCGCGACGCGCTCAGCCTCATGCACTCCTGCGGCATGTACGACTACTCGGGGCAGTTCGCGTTCAAGGTCAGTGTCCGCGCCAGGCCGCCATGGCCCGGCATTGTCATACACCGGCGGCCGTTGCGTGATGAGGCTGGCGGCGAGAGGCAGGCGCCCCGCGCCGCGCGGCAACAGTCCGCTGGAAGCGCCGCGTGGCAGCTCAGCTCGGAGCCGCGCTGGCGGCGTCCGCTCCGCTGGAAGGCGTAGCGTGGCGCGGTGCGGCGAAAGAGTCACAGTAGCCCCATCGCCCCTCCCCACCCCACCCTCCCTATCTCTCGCTGCTCTCTACGCCACGACGGCAGGACAGTGTTGCCAGTCTGGGTAAACTGACCCGCAACACTAACAGCTGAATGGAATCTAGCATGGATGGCGGGGTGCGGCGCGGCGCGCCCTTGCTGGCTGTGCGGGGACAGCAGGGGTGAGTGAGGATTGCCAAAAGTTTGATTTGCTCGGCGAGTCCCGACCATTTTGACGACCGCGACCCCGTGTTCTCTCTCTCCCCCTCTCTCGGTGCTCAGGGCGGTGCACCCCGCCAGACAATAAACGCAATAAACCCATAAACAGACCCGGAGAGAGGATGGTCCGTCGGTCGCCCGTGCGCATCTGGTGCGCACATGTGCATTGGCGAACAAGGGCCATTCCGGAAAAAGTGCGTGTATACACTGTCACTTTTCCTGGAAAGATTGAAATTGTTGTTCGCGGACAACATCAGAGGGCACGCAATGGACAGCAGAATCTCCTCAATTTCTTTATTTTCTCTACGTCAGGCGAAGATGATGAGAACGGTACCGACCACCATGTCACCATGCCCCCCAACACCCGTGCTGCCGTCGCAGCTGTGAGGTTGCGCCCTTGCTGCCCTGGCCCCCTCCCCCCATCCGTTTCCAAGACCTATTTGATTTCCATGACAAAAGTCAGGTGGCTTACGAGCGGGGGACTTTCAGATCTTTGCCGGACCATCCTGGAACCCGAACGTTGACGGGTACGGGTAGCGACCCTCCCTCCCCAGATAAGACCCGTACATGGTGCCCCGGGCGGCGACCGGCAGCGACCTCCCGTGCCGCTGTTTGGGCGGGGCCGCCGCCGCGCCGCGGAAGGCTCGGGGCGGCGCCGGCCGCGGCGGCCCCGCGGATGCATCGGCATGCGTCTTCGCGGGGCGTAGC